AAAGTATCAATTTATTTATTTTTTTTTTACATTTCTGACTCCAAACTTTTGAACGGTAGTGTATGAACAGCTTAACAGGTTGTTATATGAGTAGAAGCTGTTTAATAAAGCTATATAAGCAGACAGTCGTAGAAATATAACTTAAGAAACATTTCAACAGACAACAAACAGATCCACTTTAGGAAGCACCTACAAAAGAGGTAGAGCGTAACAAAGTCTAATTAATTCAGCTTTGGTTAATAGGAAAAAAGCATGAGCACTGTAATCTGCTGCTTGCAGTAAATTAATCTCCTGCGCTCTGCTCTCTGCAGGTATTTATAGTCTTCAGGGAAAATTGAGCTGCTGCCAGGGTTAGAACATTGAGTTTATTCAGAGGTGTGAGAAAGGGCACTTTTAATGACACTAATAGAGCAAATACTATATTTGTAGGTTCTGGTGAAAATGCACAAAAAATGACTCATGTATATTCTGTTGTATTGAACAGGAACTGGGTCCTCGTCTGGCTGCCATGTTGAATTATAACCTGCAGCAGCTATGTGGGCCTAAATGTCGAGACTTGAAGGTGGAAAACCCAGAAAAATATGGTTTTGAGCCAAAGAAGCTCCTGGATCAGCTCACTGACATTTATCTGCAGCTGGACTGTGCACGGTTTGCTAAAGCCATTGCAGATGACCAGGTCTGTATCTGCTCACCGTGATCTTCGGTGGCTAGACAGCAAATGTAGTTTGGTGCTCAACTGTATTGCAAGAAAAATATGTGGATAACTTTTTTTTTCTCTCTCTCTCTCTCTCTCTCTCTCTCTCTCTCACTTTTAGCGGTCATACAGCAGGGAGCTGTTTGAGGAGGTCATTTCAAAAATGAGAAAAGCGGGCATAAAATCCACCATTGCTATTGAGAAATTCAAACTTCTGTTGGAAAAGGTAGAGGAGATAGTAGCCCGCAATTCTCAGTCTGAGATGGATTACAGCGATGCCCCAGATGAGTTTAAAGGTGAGAGTCATCAAGTTGTTTTACATCATATTTTTAGTCATACACTACTGCTCAAGTTTGGGGTTTGATAAGTTTTTTTGTTTTTGAAAGAAGTCTCTTATGCTCACCAAAGCTGCATTTATATGATTAAAAGAAAGTTAAAACAGTAATATTATGGAATATTATTCTTTTTTAAATGAGCTGTTTTTTATTTGAATATATTTTCAAATGTAATTTATTCATGTAATGGCAATGATCACATGCATCCTTGCAAGTAAAAAGTGTTAATTTTTTAAAAACAACCCTAACAACAAAAAAAATGGAAGTGTAGCTACAAATTTAATAGTTGATTGGAGCAATTAACATTGACATCCTATCTAAACAGACCCGCTGATGGACACTCTCATGACTGATCCCGTGCAACTTCCTTCTGGCAACATCATGGATCGAGCCATCATTCTGCGACACCTCCTGAACTCTCCCACTGACCCCTTCAACAGACAGCCTCTCACCGAGAGCATGCTGGAACCAGGTACCCACCACACACAGCTTTACAAAGACTACACGAGCTGCTACTTTCAGCGCTGCTGCCAAATGCACTTTGTGACTTGTCTTTTTTTTAATTTTTTTTTTTATAATTGTTAGACTGTGTAACGCTGACTCCATACTTTTCCCTCTCTCCACAGTCCCAGAGCTGAAGGAGCGTATCCAGGCCTGGATGAGAGAGAAGCAGAGTGGCCGTGTTTGAGTTTTCTCAGTGAGCCAAGCTTGCCCTGCAGTTTAAATGTTTTCACCAAGCTGGAAGTGAACTGAAGAGAGAGAAGGAGAAATAAAAGATGACAGTACCCAAATTGTTTTCCTCCCTTTATCCTCTTTATCGAGCCATTGTCTGAAAGGCTCATGGTTCTAAATTGAAACATAATAAAGTTTAGACTTTTGAAACATTTTGATTTTGAATTTGTATGTCTGCACATACATACCAAGCTGAAAGAGCACACAGTTTCACACCTCAAAGTTAACAAATTTGGATATATAAAGAAATTGCTTCCCATTGTGTTTTTGTTGTCCTCACGGATGCATTTTAGTGGATCTCATGGTAAGGGAAAACATTGAGGATGGGGATCCATTTCATGTTTGTGAAGAATGTTAACTAACACCAGTATTTAAATTTTTTTCCATTTACACTCAGTAGAATGACAAAACATTGGCTGTAGACATGCAGTTTACCATTCAGTCAGTTTATTTTATATGGTTGGAGGAATACAACACATTTTAACTAATCAAATTAACAAGCTCTAGACTGTCTTGTAGAAAATACAATAGATGTTGGTGTAAATTGATGGACACATGCCAGTGGAGCATCAGATGGTGATTGACTCTGTATTAGAATTTTGTTGGGTTTGCATAGAAATCTCATATGTACACAGTGTGACTAAAATTGGACTAAAATCTGAATCGGAGCTCAAACCCAGGATCAAATCAAAGAATGCGATGCTGTGTTGTAACATGATCATCATAAAAATGCCAGTACATCATGTTTTTTGTTCTGTTCTCCAACGTTTTTTTGGATCCTAAAGGTTCCTCATCACTTGTTATTACTATTAACCCCAGTTGTTGGATGTAAGAGTTTTTCCAGTGACTTAAAGGGTTTATCTGTACAGGAATTTGCTTCCTTTGCTACAGACTTCTTTTGGACCCAGCTCTTTGAACTGTAATAAATGGTAATGCACACACAATGATAGCTGTTGCATTTCTTTTCACTCTTCCTGACTTTTGTTCAATTCATCAGCCACATGTTTTGCAAAACATTGGCAAGTAGGTCTAGATTGATTTAAGTTTATTAAATAATATTGTTATATGATTTCGTAGATGGCAGAGTGTGTTTTTGTATAATTGTACAATATTTATAGTTTTTAAATGTTTTTTTTTTTATATTTTCCATTTTAACGTTTATTTTGTTTTTGTCATTTTTATTTTATTTTTTAAATGTTTCTAGTTGTATTTTTATTTCAGCTTTGGTTTATTTAGGTTGATGAGAAATGCTGACAAAACAAAACAAAACATTTTTGTTACTTAAAGCTGCAGTCCGTAACTTTTTGCGCTCTAGCGGTTAATAAACAGAACTGCGTGCGAGCGACTTCTCTCTGTTTATAGGTGCGTCCCAAATCGCGTACTTATGCACTATTCTGTGACGTTTTGTAGTATAAATGGTGTGAGTAGTGCGTTCACACTGAAAATTCCAAAAAGAACAAGTTTAAATACCTGGATGATGCACTTAACCGAAAAAATGAAGTGTGGAACGTTGGACACTTCATGCACTCAACTGTCGCAGCTTTAATTACGTACCGAAGGGGGAGGGGCTATCGGACTGCGATTATGAATGACAAAATAACCTTACATAATTCATACTCTACATGGTTGAGTACATAGGGCATAAGTACATAGTGTATGAGTGCATAGTGTATAGTGCGTCATTTGGAACGCAGCTAATGTCTATTAGACGAATCACGCAGGTACTGGGCTACTCCGCAGCGGTACCTACCCGAACCAGTCTAAAATAATCCGCATATAAACACTTATTAAAGGCAGTCTTGGGGGTAACGCATTACAAGTAACGCGAGTTACGTAATCAGATTACTTTTTTCAAGTAACTAGTAAAGTAACGC